GCGTCTCATTACTGAGATTGATGTCAACTCTCCTCAGTCCTCAATCTGTCTCAGGTCAACTGCAGAAAGCAACTGCAATAACACCGGGAGGAGACGCTGGAAGATGGAAAAGCAAACGGAATCTGACGGCGAGAAAGCGAGACGAAGATAACGGAGAGAGAGAGAGACGGGTGAGACCACATGAAAAAGATGTGAGACCAAAAGCTCGGGGAACATCACACACACCCTGACACATACCTAAAAAAAAAAAGCCCCAAAAAACCAAAGCGCGACCTTCCCGCCGCCTGTTTATTCAGGAGAGATAGAATCAAAAAGCTAAATGAGGAGAAGATATAAACAGAAAACTCCAGCAGCTGGGTAACCAAGGCAACAGCGCTGCAGGTTTTCTCCTGGACATTAAAGCAGATCTCAGTGGGGAGAAGTGGGGAGGATGGTACCTGGTCCACCGAAAGTAAAGACTCAGGGATGCAGAATGCAGCAAAAACAGGCAGAAAGCTACAGATTCACTGTGTGATTTCATTTCTGGTGGCTGAATTTTATTATGCTTCAATCTATAGAAGGTAAAATAAAACTTCATTAATCCCAAAGGAAATTCTGGTTCCAGATATTGCTCAGAACAAACAAATAGACGGAGCAGTGCCTAAAAGTAGAAAGCAATAACATATAAGTGCATTACATTACTGAAATAAAATAAGTAGTCTTTACTTAAATGAGGCTACAACAGAACGGTTAAGAGTAAAGCAGACATGAGAATGAAATAATGAAATAATGCACAGTGAAAATACTGCAGATGTCATCAAAACGTTGCAAAAGAAAATAAAATATTACACTTGAAATTGAAATATTCCACCCGAGAAATCAAAAATGCACATTACATGTTGATAAACCACACAGGTGGGAAACATGCAGCAATCCACACAAATGAACATCAGCCTTATGGCCTTTATTCTTTCTCCTTTTCAAAACCTGCTGCCCACGATGCAACTCAGCTTCCTAACAGATTTGAGTGTGTTTCACTAGAACCAGCTAATGTATCCTTGACCCTGCATCAACTCACCTCTTTAGACTTTTCTCAGACTTCCCAGTGTTTCCTCTGGAGACACTAAAGGCTTTTCTATGCCAGTTTTAACACATGTGCATCTCCTCTCCCCTGAACAACACCTGAAAAACACTCTGATCCAGAGCTGTGAAGTAATAAACCCTCCCTGACCTCAGATAATGTACTAGGGGGCTCACAAGTGCCAAAGTGTTCTACCTAGAACCCACCCAGGCAGGAGTTAAACACAATCTATGTGGTCTTTATTATAGATCAGTGATTGGAACGCAACTGGGTGACGAAGCTGACTGATCACAAATAAGGGAAAAATCTGACTTACAGCTGGAGAATCAGCTTTGTTTTCACAGCTCATTAGAACTACACTGACCAGACTGATCTGATCTGCTGAGTATAAACATATATGAATAATTTCTCTACTACTGCTCCTGTGAGTCTTGCGATACCAACTGTAGCCACTAAACCAGTACTATCTCACAGCACAGTACTAGTCCATCACTTGGTAGCGGTGGATAATGTGCGTGAACACACAAATATTATATGTACATTTTACAAAATGAATGTTATCAAAGAAGAACATGGAAATGTTTATATTTATAGCAGAAATCGAATGAACAGGATAAATACACTGTCAGTAACCAGAACATTAAGTGAACAGCAGCTTTTTTCTAGGAGTCTAAACTAAGCTAACTAAGCTAAACTAAAGTTAACTAGCACTGGAACCAGCTCGGTGGAAAAGGGGTATGAGATTACATCACCATCATGCCAAAACCTGCATAAAGACCCAGAGTGAGACCATCAGACCAACACTAAAGGAGGTACATGATGGACTTGAGTGTGAGCGGTGGGAGGTGTCACCAGCGATACCAGCTTGGTGGAAAAGGGGTATCTGAGGACCTCTCCTGGACCAACAACACCACATCGCTGGCCAAGAAGGCTCACATATGCCTCTAATTCCACCACAAACTGAGGAGAGCATGAGTCCCACCTCCCATCGTGTGCTCCTTCTCCAGTGGCACCATTGAGAGCGTCCTCAATGGCTGCATCACTGGAGATATGGAGGTTGCACTGCCTCCTGCCGGAGGGACATGAACCGGCGACGGTGCTAACCACCGAGCCACCTTGCAACCCCATGTGAGACTAGGGCAGCAGTACATTTCATTCATGCCAAATTAAGCCGGTAAAACACATCTTTTCCTCTTCATTTCAACTGAGACCAGTAGAACTAAACCTTGAATCTGTCTGCATTGAAACCCAGCATACGTAGGTGACCGCAGAGAGCCGAGGAGCAGACAGGTCCAACAGGCTGACACTCTACTGAGTCCACAGACGCTGGCGGCGACTCGCATTTATGTTGATTTTATCAGACAACGTCCTGACTATAAATTGTGATTGGGTCTGCAGGGCTGTCTGTCTCACTCCTCAGCAGATGTTTGCTATGACGGTTTTGTTGTTTGCACAGTGAAAAGAGGGCAAAGACGAAGAGATTTTCATGTCCAGGTGTTTTCACTGTGGACAGAACGTTCTACAAAAACAACCTGCAAAACACTTCTCACACGGAAGCAGCATTTGAAAGTCTAAACTGTGAACACGTCATTTATGAAGCTGACGCCTGTTGCTAAACGATTTCCTATTTATACACCAGTTTGTCTCCAGCTGATAAAAGCAAGTCTAACATTCGCTTTCTTCGCTGCTGTGTTGGACTTTGTTGTGGAAATTACATTTAATATACTGCTGCACAGATTCCATTTTTACATAATTTAACATAATGAGAAAGTTCATTAATACTTCATCAGTTAATGCATCTGATAAGTCAGCCATATGTTGTTTTCCAGCTTTAACGACGACTCCGCACGTAGCAATTAACGTGTTATTAATGTTTTAATTACTCTTTAAAGACAGTAACCTCAGTGGAAGATTTAATTTAGAAAAAAGTCCACAGTCATGTTTGGCATGTTAGGACGACTTCATGTTTAACAGGATGCTGCATGCTGAGTGTCAAGGAAAGCACTTTGCTTACATCTGAATTATCACAAACTAAATATCTGAGTTTGTTTTTGAGTGACCCTCACTGCACACAAGGTCATTTTTGCCAGCAGCTGACAAATATTTTACAACTGACCACGACACTGGTCCTATGTGCAGCTGATATCGGCTGCAGGCTACAGGGTGGCAGTGTAGGAACTACTGTAGGTGGAGTAACTAATGCTGCTAAAACATAGGTAAGGAGGGAAAACCACAACACTGGTTAATGCTTTGGTCATCTCTAGATCACAGAACTTACATAACACAGGCTAAAACATAGGTCAAAGCATCTAAACCCAACAGGCACATTCAAGTCAGTCTCAAATCATCAACAGCTTTCAGCTTGAACCTCTCGGGTTTGCTCGAGATGTTTATTATTATTATTTTTTTAATCATAAGCTATGGATATTCAAAATTATATTTGTGACATTTTAGATTGATATATCAAAAACATTTTCAGAGAGAAAACAAAAAGGAGTTGCCCATTGATCCACTTTCAGCACATTTTTTCACACATTAAAATTTGAGGCCATGTTTGAATGAGAATAATTCAGAAACTATCACAGAAAGAAGCCGGAAAGTTTTACTGTTAGTTCTCATTACGTCATTGATTTAGATTCTGCATTATTGGACAGGTACATTAAATAGTCTGTAATGTTAGGTCACTTAAATTATGGGGAAAATAAATAAGGCAGATTAACAAGAAAAATGCAAAACATTAACTAGTGATATATTCTGTACTATAATGTAGTCATATGTCACAATAATACAAAACGAAACAGATAGAATGCTTTTCAATAAGAAATACTAAAAACAAGAAAGTTAGTTTTGTTGTTTTTGTTGAACTTTCATAACCGATCGAGCAGCGATGAGTTTTTCCACAAAAACAAAAATATTGTCAGATTCAAGTAGAACAGAGTTCTGGAGGTTTAAAATGGTTCATCTAAATATAACTAAGAAAATATAGCTTTAAAATGTGGGCATATTTTTCATTATGGGATCCCACGTGAGCGTAAACCTTGGTTTGGAGGAGACTTGTCTTTAATTGTTTCTGAGCTATTGTTGTTCAAACACAGCCACAAATTTTAATGTGGGTCAACTTGCAAGCTTATCTAATCCAATGTGTTGGAAAGTAGTGATGCACGATATTAACATTTCTGGTCGATACCGATATCCGATATTAGGATTTCTGAAATTGCCGATAAATGATATTACCGATGTTGATATTCAATTTTTGTTCACACCAAAAAAATGAGTATAAGTAAGCTCTGTGAGGACATGAAAACTATTCAAAAGAAGCCCACACCACGTTAGACCACATAGTCTTCTTTATCACGTAACAAAAGTAAAACATATTTAAACATATTTAACGTTCAAGTCCACGACCATTTAAGTAAAAACATCTGTGAAATAGCAGCAATATCAGATGTAGAGACGAAGGCACTGATGTTAGACAATCATCGTTTTTCACATCAGCTAAATTTGTTCATCGGACCGATACCAATATATCGGAAAAAACACTAATATCGGCCGATACCGATGTGGTAGCCGATATATCGTGCATCCCTATAGGAAAGTACTTGATATGTCACTAACTCGAGATATAAATAACCATCATTTATGCGGTAGAAATCAGAGATCAAACCATAAATGGTGAAGCAGAAATTGTTTTAAAAAAAAGTGATGATTGGAGATTGAATGACCCGATCATCCTGTCATCGTCATACATGTAACACTTCATTATTCATCTGCTCTCGTTGTCCAAAATGTTCTCACTGTCCTGTTTTCTACCTGCCTCCCTCCCTTCTTTTCTGTTCATCTGCATTTCCCCTTTAACAAAGCACTAAACTGCATCTGCCTGCATGGTTGTGTCTCTTTCTTTGTGTTTCTCTCAAACACCGCCTGCTCCTTGAAGTCTTACCTCCGTTGTCCTTCACCGTAAAATTCGTGTTGACTTGATGTTCAGGAGGCACGAAGAAGGAGAACTTTCCATTCGCAAAGTTGTCCAGGTCTGCCGCTCGGACGGTCTGAATCACCTGGTGGACAGAAACAAAACACATGTGAGGGAAGTGACAAAAGAAAGGTGGCCAAGAAATCAAACAAAAAAAACTGCATGTAAGAGAAGAAGAAAGGCAGCGATTAATGGGGGGAATAAAAAAGAAAGAAAGAAGCTGTGACAAAAGCTCGTACAGTCTGAGCTGCAGTGACCTCGAGCAATCGCTTACTACACTAAACATCCTGCTTACACGCCGCATGACTGGATATGCATTATTATACAGTATATATATGCTGTGAATGCATGAGGAAGCCGCGGTTCTGCCCACATGTTTGTTTGTTTGTGTCCTCTTTATAGCGGTTCTGCCCATTCACAGGCTGCACGTCTGAGGACTGCAGGGCAAACAAGTGAGTCACCGCTGCTGCTCAATGTACCTGACGGAGCTTTTGATGTGGACATTATTTAAGGTAAAAGAAGAAACATTTCTCTTCTGCCCACACACAAACACACATAAACCAAGTAAATCACCCCCACACTTAGTCTCACATCATACTTCTGGTGTCGAGTTCTGTCGAGTCGAGGCGGTAAACAACTACGGCACAAATGTGAATTTACAGAAACGAGCAGATGTCATGGAGGGATATTAATTAGTCAGATTAGTTATGCCCTTAAAGTAATAATAGGAAAAATAATTAGTGCTAATAATATGATACCCTTTTGAGTGCATTTTGATTGTGAAATCACTCATAGATATCCACAAACAACACACATCCACTGTGTTAATGATCTCTATTTAATGTAATATAATAACGTCACCAACATCCGACAGTGAATTTTCAGTAATATTCATCAGCTTTGTCAAAGAATGTATGTTAAAATCAAACACTCACATCCCTTTGTTGTCTTTTATCCTCTGGTTGTTCTACACAGCATAAACCACAGAGACATTTTTTCTCCTTTTTGTATAAAACAGAAAGTCAGTAATATAATAATGTTTGGAAAATATCCACATAATCTTATTTGTTTTTACAACTTGAATTAAAAAAACTCCTTAATAGTTCAAATGGGGCTGCAGGGTGGCGCAGTTGGTTAGCACTGTTGCCTCGCAGCAAGAAGGTCGCCGGTTCGCGTCCCGGTGGGGGCACCGGAATCTTTCTGCGTGGAGTTTGCATGTTCTCCCCGTGCAGCGTGGGTTCTCTCCGGGTTCTCCGGCTTCCTCCCACACAGTCCAAAAACATGTTGAGGTTAATTGGTGATTCTAAATTGTCCGTAGGTGTGAATGTGAGTGTGCTTGGTTGTCTGTCTCTAAGTGTAGCCCTGTGATAGACTGGTGACCTGTCCAGGGTGTCCCCTGCCTTCACCCTGAGTCAGCTGGGATAGACTCCAGCCCCCCGCGACCCTAGTGAGGATTAAGCGTTGTATAGATGATGGATGGATGGATAATAACTTCACCAAGATCCGACAGTGAATTTTCAATAATATTAATCAGCTTTGTCAATGAATGTATGCTAAAATCAAACATTCACATCCCTTTGTTGTCTTTTATCCTGTGGTTCTTCTACACAGCATAAACCACATAAACCACACATAAACAGAAAGTCTAATATAATAATGTTTGGCAAATATCCACATAATCTTATTTGTTTTTACAACTTGAATTAAAAGAAAAACTCCTTAATAGTTCAACTGTTTGCATAGTTTCTTCAACACGAAAAAGCCTCAGAAACAACACATCGAAACGCCAGATGTTAGCGAACGTCTTGCTCATCTTTCAACCATTCGTTCCATCCTGTTTCCAAACCCAGTTGGGACCAGAGCCAGACCTGGGAGACACTTGTTAAAAATCCATCAGTGGCTGCGACAAAAGAGACCATTTCCAGGCCTTGATGCTCCATTTAAAGGACCAAAACTCCGGCAGCAGCCAGAACAGATTTTTGCAAGTGGTACAATTTTCCTTTTCTCTTCCGTAATGTGATGAATAAATATCTGAGCGTTTCTCAGGTACCCTGCAGAGCTCTTTTCTGAAATCAGTTAAATCTGTTATGTGCATGTTAAACATTTTTGCATCCGCTCTGTGAACTTCCAGTCTGGCAAATGCATTGTTAAAACAGTTCACATAATGAACATTTAAATAGAAATATTAATTCTATAAAAGCAATTAAATATGGTCTGAACACAGGACCTCTGTTATGCAAATGTCTCACTTTAGAGGAGATTTTGTTTCCTGTCGGTTATACAAATCTTGGTATTAACCTTTCTAAAGGTGGGGAAATCTATGTCTAATAGATTCTGTTTAATTATTTAACACCTTTCAGTGGAAGACACAAGCTTAACCTCTTAAGCATGAAAAGCCACCTGAGAAAAAAAATCCCCACATTCAGTCAGTAACAGCTCCAGAATCAACAACACTGGACGGATTAGAGACACTTTGAAAATACAATAAATATGCTTAATTTTATCACACAGACAGAGTTAGGCTCGAAAAACTCTGAAATGTGACCATTTTACATCTGCCTAATCAGCACTGTAGATTCAAAAGTTAAAAAAACAGCCAATAGCCAGGGACATTGATGTTGTTGAAGTTAAAAATAAAATAAAAATAAAAAAATCCATAAAAATGTTAAAAGTTAAGGTTGGAAGAGGGCCAGAAAAAAATAAGTTAAAAATGGTGGAATACTGTAACATTCAAAAGCTGTAAAAGCACAGAAAAAAAACAGCAGATATCTAAAATAATATTTTATTAACAGGTTTAAATACAATAAAACAGCGAAATCGTGTTGTATTTTTACAATATATTATAAAATGAGAAAAAAAGTAAAGTTAACACGTAAATTAATGCATTTTGTGTAATTTTACTAGATCCTATCTTTTATTTTAAAAAAAACCCCCCAAAAAACAGGGAAAATCTGTAAAATAACAGTTTAAAAAATGATTTTTCAAACCTTAACATATATTATTTTCTTTTTAATTATTATCTGTAAAACAACAGTGTTTTGATGATTTAAATACACAAAAAAAATATGCGATTTTATGGCCAAATGTTGCAAAAGAACAAATTACCGTTTAATA